TTTCCTGCAATCAAGTTTGGTGTGGTTAACCTGGAGTTTGTATCTATTGTGTGCTCTTGTGTTGTTATGGTGGATGCTGAAGTATTCATTGACAGGTAGGACATTGCAATGTATGATTTTATATACTATACTTAGATCAGACCGAAGACGGCATAATTCAAAGTTTTCTAGGTCTAGAATTTCAAGTCTGGTGGCATAAGGTATTCTACAATGAGTAGAGGAGTGGAGAACTCTTCTTGTGAAATATTTCTGGACTTTCTCAACTGTGCTAATATCAGATACGTAATGTGGGTTCCAGACTGATGAGCTGTATTCGAGTATTGGTCTAGCAAATGTTTTGTATGCTCTAGTTATTAGTGTGATATTATCAGAGAAAAAGCTACGTAGGATTAGGTTAACAACTCTTAATGCCTTTTTGGATTTGTAGTTACAGTGGGTTCTAGCACTTAGATCATTAGAGATGAGTATTCCAAGGTACTTTACAGAGCTTGGATCATCAACAAGATCTTGACTATTCAGCTTGTATTTTATTTTCTGATTTTTTTTGCCAATATGTAAGACAGAGCATTTATTTGTTGAGATTTGAAGTTGCCATTTGTTTGACCATTCTGATACATAGTCAAGATCTTTTTGAAGGATAGCAGTATTGTCTGTGGTGTTGAATAGCTTTACATCATCAGCAAAAAGAATGCAGTTGCTCTTAATATGATCATAAAGGTCATTTATGTAGAGTATGAAGAGAGTTGGTCCTAGAACACTGCCTTGGGGGACACCACTATTGACAGGTACAGAATTTGATAGGACACTCCCAATTTTGACCATTTGTTGTCTGTTTGACAGGAGTGCTTCTATCCAGTTATGCAGTTGTCCACAGATACCATAAGATTTTAGTTTTAGGAGTAGTTTGTTGTGTACCACTGAATCAAAGGCTTTACAGAAGTCTATGTAGATTGCGTCTATTGCTTTGCCCTGATCGAGTTGTGTAGTCCATATGTTTTTGCAGTGTAAGAATTGCAGATTACAGGATAGTTTTTTCCTGAAACCAAATTGTTTATTGGAGAGTAGGTTGTTTGTCTTTAAGTGGAGGATAATGGATTAGTTAATGATTGATTCCATGACTTTACAGGTGACGCAGCATAAGGAGATTGGTCTGTAATTTTCAACTAGGCTGGGGTCTCCCTTTTTGAAGATGGGGATGACCGTGGCTTGTGACCATAGTTTTGGTGAGGAGCTGGTCCTGAAAGATTTTTCAGAGATTATGCTTAGAGGTTCTGCTATGGCAGTGGATAGCTTTTTTAAGAAGTAGGCACATATTCCATCCGGTCCAATAGATAGAGATGGTTTTAGATTGCGTAGTGTTTTTCAACATTGTCTACTGTAAAATCGATACGTATTAGATCATTGTAGTTGTCTTTGGTTCGACTAGAAAATACTGGGCATGATCCATTGCTGTTTACAAATACTGAGCCGAAAAATGTGTTAAAGAGGTTGGCTTTAATAGTGTCATTGTTACAGTCTTTACCATTAGGTCCTTTCAGGGGTGGGATGGACCTTGAGTCTTTTAGTTTGTGGTTTACAAAATTGTAGAAAGCGCGGGTGGAATTGGTGCAAAGAAGGTTTTCCTCTTGTTTAATGTGATAATTGGTGTATTCAGTCTTTATCTGGTGGCATAAATTTTTGTATCGGCTTTTGAAATTGGCAACGTGACCAGATTTGTGATCTCTTTTTGGATTGAAGTTTCCTTATTTTTATGGGTAATCTGGTTTTTTGTTTTTGTTTTGGGAGTTGTTGTTGGTACATATAGTTTGATCACTCTTTTGACTTCAAGTAAAAATATGTTGTAATGGTCTTCAACAGTATTGCATCCAGTGAATAGAAATTGCCAATCAAGGGATGAGAGATCGTTGTCTGTAAGATCATAGTTGCCTTTTTTGAACTTATAATTGGGGATTACATCATTGTGATGATATTTGTGTGGGCATATGTTGAGGCAAAAGTCAATCATATTGTGGTCACTGCTGGAAAAGGGTTCTTTAGTTTGTATTCCGTAAATTGAATTCAAACTATTGCAGAAGATGAGATCGAGGCAGTTTTTTAGTCTAGTGTTGTTGGTTACTAGTGGTTCCAGTCCCAGATTTGTAACAGCACTGTAGAAGGTTGCGTGTATGGGTTCAGTTGTACATTCATTTAGGGTCCAGTCAATATGAGGTAGATTGAAGTCATCAAGAAAGATAAAAGCGTTGGGCAGGATGCTGCCCATGTTAGTAGTGTATTTAGCTTGTTTACATGTTCGATGTCATAATCAGGTGCTCTGTAACATAGTAAGAATCGAAATGTGATATTTAAGGATAGTTCACAGATAATGGTCTCAGGAAGAGCAAGCTCCTGGGTAACTTGGATGTTTTTTAGATGTAAGGACTTTTTATAGAAGATAGCAACACCACCTCCTCTATGAATTTCACGATCTGATCGGTAAACATGATAGTCTCTTACTGTGGTAATGGAGTCAGGGAGAGATGCGTTGAGCCATGTTTCACAAATATGATGTCAAATTTAGCCATATTTAGTAAGAGAAGAAATTCAGGTATTTTATTAGCAAGGCTTCTTGCATTGAGTAGCTTGCATTTAAGGCCAGCAGTAGTTGGAATTGGGTAGTTAGGGGTGTGCATGCCTAGTCTTGGGTGATGGTGGATTGGTTGAGGAAGGGTTGTAGTTGAAGGTTAAAGCTGAGTTGCGGGTTGTGTGACTTACTTTTGATACAGTCAGGATGGTAGTCAATGTACAGGTCCTTCTCTCCATTGTCTAGATGTTTTTTGAGTTCAGTGCAGAGTACATGGGAGCAGGCACATTGCTGTATGGTTAGGTCAGGGCGACAACGGAGGTTCTTATGGTTGGTGTTGGTTTTGGCGAGTGAATTTATAGTGTAAATGAATTTACGTTTGCTTGATTCATTTTTGCAAATGACCCTGCAGAAACGTGGGGCCAGAGACCCGTCTGTGTTTTTGAGCTCTCAGCCAATGCGGGAAATGTCAAGTATTTCCTCAGGGGAGATGGTTGATGCTTGATAATCACTGATGATGTTTCAGACAGTTGTGATGTCATCATTATCATTGATGTCTTCTAAATCAAATAAGATGGCGTTTGGATGTTTCTGTTCACGCTCAACAGCTTCGCTGATGAGGATTGGGATATCATTATTTGTCTGGCTTATGTTTTTTTGTGGATTGGGTTGTGGATTGGGTTGTGGTTGTTGGGTAGAGATGTGGTTTGTAGCTATTGGATGTTCAGGTTTTTGCATTGTGTCTTTTTTTTCAAGGTTGGATAATCTTTCTTTTAAGGCGTCCAGGGATGCTACTATGGTGTCAAGGGATGTTATTCATGTTTCAATGGTATCAACTCTTTCCAACAGATCCAGTTTGGGTCTGCATGATTTGCAGAGATATGGAAACTCATTGGATGATTCTAGGTATTGAATCATTTGCTTGGGTAATCCCAAGTAGTCATGATGAGCGTATTTGTTACATAGAGAACTTGCCTTTCTCAGTTTCCCCCAGTGGAAATCACATGGATCTGATAGGTAGGTTCATGAAAAGGGAGATTCAGCCAAGAACCCAAGAAGCAAGGGTGCCTCTGAGAGTGTGCAGGCTGTAGGCCCTCACTCTGAACAGCCACAACGTTCCCAGCACACCTGAAAGTAATCGTTTTCACAGTATGGAATCTATGGATGACAATTTGAAGGAATATAACTGCTCCATTTTAAAATGCAGACTTTATGAGACTACTACTGGATAAAAGCAGATAAATATTAATGTGTGTGTGTGTGTGTGTGTGTGTGTGAGAGAGAGAGAGAGAGAGAGAGAGAGAGAGAGAGAGAGAGAATGTATGTATGTATGCATGTAATACCACTAGATGGCACCCACTGGCAATTTTTTAAGATTTAGCCAAACTGTCCTAAGATTTTGACCATTTAATTATATATTTTTGAAATTTTTCTCTATTGCTTGCAAATTTTGCTGACCTCTTATAAAGGGGCATATGTTTGGTTTATGCTGAAATCAATGATTATTTCTTGTATTGTAATCTAATCCAACTTCCCAAGTTTTTAAATGCAATTCCAATATATTCCTTTTTAAAAGTGGAGAGGAGAGCCATTCCTCACAATATGTAGACAGGCAGCTGCTCGTATTCTTGACCCCATCTTCCTAAAAGATTGGCTGAATGATGTATGCAACCTGTAGGTAATCTCCAAAGCACTTGGGCTAAGACCCTGCAAAAAGTTGAAGAGCAATATAAAATTGGTGCATGCTTAAGGCTTATTCCCGCTGCTTGAAAGCAATGAGTACGCGTAGTCCTCGACTTACAACAGTTTATTTAGTGACCGTTCAAAGTTGCAATGGTGCTTATAAAAAAGCAACTTATGACCATTTTTCACCTTTGCAGCAACCCCGCGGTCATGTGATCAAAATTCAGATGTTGGCAGCTGGTTCATACTTAGGATGTTGCTGTGTCCCCCCAAGGTCATGTGATCACATTTGGCAGCCTTTTAACAAGCAAAATGAATGGGGAAGCCGGATTCATTTAACAACCTTGTGACCAACTTATCAACTGCAGTGATTCACTTAATAGCTGTGGCAAGAAAGGTCGTAAAAAGGGGCAAAACTCACTTAGGAACAGAAATTTTGGGCTCAATTGTGGTTCATAAGATGAGGACTCTCTGTATTGCATACTTCAAATGTGTTATCTGAAACGGGCAATGCTACAAATGAAGAGTTCTGCAAGTTCCCTGCAATTCCTTACCTTGGCCTGATGTAACCTGGACCTACATCTCTTATCTAAAATGAGATTCTTGCTTGTTGGGAACTATCCCAGGCCTGCAGCCATCTGTATGATGAGAGGGAGAATCTCCCTAGAACCACCTGCAAGTGCAGAATATAGAAAGCTTTCCATTGCAGCCAATGTGTAACAGAGGATGGCAGTCGTGTTCTTCGCAATCCTTGCTACAAATTACAAGAGACATCTTTATGGACATTTTTCAATATTTTATTACAATCTCAATCCAGAAAATATCATTAGTTCATGACATATACACATTCTTACATGGAACCTCCTTCCCCCCAACTTTTTAAGCAGGTAAATCGTATTTCATATACATGATATACATCAAACATTAAAAAATAAAAGTTCAGGGATTCCAAGGCTATTTGTGGTCCCCCAGACAGTCCCCCAGGCTTTCATGCATACACTTACTCTTCTTGGTCATACATCAGCCATGAGCAACAAATACATATAAACCCTCCTCAAATGGATTGACCAAGTAGAGAGATCAGCAAGAAATGCTACCAGGAATTACTTCCTTCATTCAGTAATCTGCCCATTTCGAAACATGGTGCTTACCTTTGTCTACTGTCAGTGAGATACGATTAGGTTACACAGAACATAGCTGAATAAAATGTCAGGGTTTTTATTTGGTTCTATTAATGTAACTCCCCTGTGCTACTGTCATAATGCTGTTTAGTATTTAGAAGTAAATTGAGTTTGCAAATTAAGATGGTAGTAAAATGTTAATTACCGAGTTAAGTGCAATAATGTAATCCCCGCCCCTCCTGTCCCCCATTCTAATCCGTGTTCCAGGCTTCATTTAAAAGTGGTAACACAAACACTACTTGCCTTTAAAAATGTAAGCAGTTAGGGATTTCCGGTTTGCAAGGCTTCAGCGGCAGCAGGAATACGCGATCGTGCGCCATCCCTGCTGTGCTCGCTGCCGAAGTGCCTCCGATCCATTTGGATCTGGAGGATATGGTTGCCTCGTAGAGGCAGCCGAAGAGAGAGGAGATCCGGACAGGGGCTTGGGAGTATCGCAAACCCCCTCCTCAGCCGGCAAAACTCCTTTTTCCCAAGGCGGTGGAGCGGCGGTCAGTAATGGCCGCCACAAAGAAGCCTGCAGCCGGGTAAGATTGTGCAGGAGGAAGTTGGAGAAAGTGCAAGTTTTTTGGCTGAACCGGGACAGCAAGGAACCTTGAAACACCCTGGAAATCTAATCGTTTGAATGATACATTATTTCCCAAGGAGACTGTGAAAGCAGCGGAAGAGGATTTAAAAGGGAAAGTTATTTTTTCTTACTCTCCCTCCCCATGGAAATAGCTGGAAATTGGAAAAAACTGCTTGGGCACAGAAGGTAACTAAACCTGAAATTTAAAGCCAAGGGGATTAAAGATTTCTGAATATTGGAATTTTGCTATAAGTGGGAGGGAAGAGGTAAAGAACTTATTTTAAGATTGTATTGAAGGAGACTGCTTGGAGTTTATAAGATCAGAAATAAGTGGCAATTAGACTTCTAAAAATTTACTTTGGAACTGTGTAACTGAATTCTACCCCAAGAAGAAAAATATAAAAAGAAGAAAGTGCTAAATGAAACAATTGGTTCTGATTTGGATTGCTTTGTGACTGGGATTTTTGGGAACTATTTCTTGAAAGACTAAAAACATTTGGGTTGTTTTTGAAAAAAAATGGCATTATCAGTTGAAGAATTACAAATGGAATTTCAAAAGCTAAAAGAAGAGGAATAAGAAGGCAAGGGCTCTTCTGGATCTATTTTTTACTTTTTAGAAATGGCGGTTTCTACCTACCAGGAAATACAACAACAAGGAAGCTGGGATGGAGAAGAAGAAGCCATCTTTAAGAGACAGATAATCTTAGTTGAGGAAGAAAAGAGAAAGGAGGGAAATAAAATGGAGAATTCAGAACCTAAAAAAGCAACCAAGAAAGGGAAAAATAAGATGAAAAACTGATACAATGTCAGAAAGCAACAGAAAAGAGAAATACAACAGAGAGGGAAGATTAAGAGAGTGGAGCTTGAGAGATGGGGGGGTAAAAAGGCTAGAATTGACAAGAAAGGAAGGGAAAAAGGAAAGAGAAATCATAAAGGTTTAAAACAAGATGTTAAAAAACAGGTTTTTTTCAGAGACAAAGGGTAAATTATAATTTAAAAAATGATTCTGCAAAAGTACATAAGATTGTATTATAGATATTAGTATTTGAAATTGAGTTAGAAAACTGAAATATTATATGAGTTAATAATTCATTAAAGGGAATGTATAAAAATGTTTAAGATTTAATAATAGAGTTCAACTTTCTATGGAATACTGTCTTTACTATTATATAAACTTAATTTTATTTTTTTTATTTTTGTTTTATTATTCTAAAATGTGATACCTAGAATGTACTAAGCAGAATCAGTATGGAAAGTATGTATTATTTTAAGTGTTAAATTTAGGGGAAAGATAAAAAGTTGTCATACTTCAACCAGTCATTAGAGGAAAAATATTGTATTAGAAAGAAAAGAAAAATAGATAATTGAAAGAGAACGGACAAAAGATGCAAGTATAATTATTTAAACTGAGATGAAATAAATAAAATAGAATTAAGGGAGTGAATGAAGAGGGAAAATATATAGAAAATATAGAATGTTAAATAAGATATGAAATAGTATATTAGAGCATGAATTTGATTTATGTCTGTACAAAAAGATGTTACCCGGGGTAAGCCGCTTTCCAAAAAGAAGTTTTATGTATTTATGTTTTGTGTCTTGTTTGTTTATCAAAACGTTAGAAGAATGTTGGAAGAGAACAATGAAATTTTAAATAAGACAGATGGATATAATGAATATATACAATTTAAGGTAAAAGAAATATAATTGAATAGAAGGAAAGGGAGAAATAAAGAGAAGTTGGGAAAAGATATGAAGTTGAACAGATAAGATGAATATACATATTAAACTGTGTTGGTATGGAAATGTGATAATTTGGAATTATCCTGTCTTTAAATAAGATGTTTTTGTTTTTTTTTAGAAAAGATGTGCTATGTTATTATTCTACATTTTGTTTGTTTGTGTATTGTTTTTAAAATTAATAAAACTTGTTTTAAAAAAATGTAAGCAGTTAAAGGAAAAAGAAAGTCAGAATATTTTTTTTCTTTAAAAAAAGTGTTGAAAATATTTTAACTTGAAAAAAAATTGGGTCACTTTTACTGAAAGACAGTTTATAGAAAAAATTTTTTTTTTAAATGCTAAGTTCTGAATTGTACAAAAATGATACACAAGTTTGGAAACAAAGAATGATTTGATTCTCTATCCAAAACTGAAGTTCAGATGGTTAGCCTACCTGGGAAGAGCACTTCTAAAAAATATTGTGCCCCGGGACTCTTTCTAGCATGCTCAAACTCTACTAAGTTTTTTTAAACATTATTTTACTGGGTAACTACCTCAAAAATGGTTGTACTGGCACTGGGTGATATATCTGGAGAATACTCTGGCTCATTTAATGTTCCACTAAAGATCACTTTAGCTGTTCAACAGATTAATCAAAGTTCAACATATCCACATCAGGATTCGTACAGCTTCTCAATCTATTCTGAGAATGGCCAAAAACAACCAATAAAAGGAAGAAGCTATTGAAAGCAGCGAGAAAGTAATAATCAGAGGACAACATATGTAATTTTGGGCAGTGGCCATCTCACAGATTTGCCCGGCTATGTACGTGTGGCCTCTTTCCTTTCCTTACACGATGTCCAACAGCCGCACCAATTGTATTATGGAGCTAAGTTGCTACTGGGAATGAAAGGGAAGGGTATATTTTCCTTGCTTTTGTTGCTGATTTCAGATTTCTCCTTCCCCATGTCCGTGAAATCCTCAAATCAGGTCCCAATGCTGTATATAGTGAATTAAATCCATTATGTGGCCAAATGAGCTGCAGCTAGTCAGAGGAACAGAGGTAGCAATATTGGTTCTCTATCCTTAAATCAAAGCAAGTATCTTATTAACAAGAAACACCTTTCAAATGCTATTCAGGCTTTTGCCAAAAGACTGATCGGGGATAGACAAGCTTCACATTCCAGGATGGACTGCAATTCCCATCCATTTCCTGTTATTTGTCATGGTAGCAGTTGAGGAGACTTACAGCCCAAAACATCTGAAAAGTTCTGAATTGCTCATCCCCTGTGGAGATCATAAGGTACTGGGGTTCTGTTGCACCATCTCTGCATTGGCCATTCTCTTGTGCAACTCAAAACATTTAACCAACCCACCAGAAGCTGCTCTGAAAAGAAGAAAGATGCACAGACAAATCCAAGAGTCAGTTGCTCTAAAGTAGAAGACAGTCTTTCTTGTGAATGGCCTCCGTTGGAACACATATATTTCCCACTGTATGAAAATACCAAGAAATTGTTCAGTTGAAATTTTTTTATTTTGGGTCTTAGAATAGTCTAGATTCCAAAATTATGGTGTGAGTAGAGAATACACATTTCTATGCTGAAGCAATTTATAGGCAAAATTACACCATACAACACTGGATGACAAAATACTTGGCATGAGACACAAATGGCAAGACAGGACTAGCACCTCAATCCCATCTTTTATCAGATCTGAAGGATTTTTTAAATAAAAGACTGACTCAGCATCAACCACACCATAAAAGGCATCTATGGATGGCCACAAAAACTTCTGTCCCAGAGTAGTATTCCTTGTTTTTATATTCTTATCAGGAATAGAATAATTTCTCTCTTATCAAATTAAAAAAACACCACTTACTTTACGAAATATAATCATTATCCAACAAAAAGATCATCATTCAATAAACAATAAGAAATGCTCCAGTGCATTGATAGAGTTTAGTAAAGAAATCTGGTTGGTAATACACACCTCTTTTGTTGGGCAGCTGAATGGATCTAGAGATTTTGCTGTTCTCTGCCTTGAACAGTTCTCCAGCACAGCTGATAGCCCTCTAAAGGCAATGGCTATTCAGTCCAAAGCATCGTCTATATAGAATGGAGTCTTACATACATTTTCAACAAAACTGTTCCAGTTTTTTCATTTGAAATTATAACAGGCACGTTTAAAAAAAATACAAGCAGTCTGCTTCCTCCAAATATCCTTTTTACTTAAAAAAAGCCTGTAAAAATATTCTGCACAACCATCTATATCCATCTAAGAAGGAGAATATACATATGTAATTAAGAGTTTTTATCTGTATATCTGTTACATTTGCAAAACTATCAGTCCTTCTTGGCTGTCCTTTTTACCTCCAGATGCTCCGCTTTGCCGATACAACTGCAAGATACATAAAAATAAACAAGGGACCCCATTATTAACATTATTAATGTTTGAGAAACAAAAGGATGATATGTTATTCCATGCAACTGCAGAATAGTGATGGTCTTTATTCCTTCAGAAATGAATTCCAGATTTGGAAGTTTCTACATATTTTAAATAATCTGATATGCAGAATGTAACTCTTCTTTAGCAAACATAACATTTTCTGTCTACTGTAAGTGTAAACTGGGATTTCATTATGATGGGCTCCTGGACTTAAAAACAACCTCAAAATTCAACAGCCTCCAGTAAAGGAAAGACAGTTTGAGGAGGCTAATTTGATTTAATGAAGTAGAACAAAAAGAAAGAGAGAAATATGGAAGATCTGGCTTCTTTATCCTCTTCTTTCTAGGATCATGGTTCAGAATATACCCAAAGCATTCTATATGAAGGTTCCTGGGATTAAGAATATAATAGCAGAATAATTATTGTCGATTTAAATAAAAGGGAATTGCATAGGAGAAATAAACAGTACAGAATCTGTTTATAGTAATATATTCTCAAAGCATCAGAGACAATTTCACCAATGAAGACCAATTAAGTTTTCCAAGATTAAAAACTGGGGTTTGAGCCTAAGCCTGAACCATGCTCTGAGTTTGTCTAATTCAAGGTCATGGAGTAGGTTGTTCTTCTGAGAAGTCACTTTTTCAATTGGAACGATTATTCACTATGAACCAGACTGTTAATAATTATGGTAAATTTCCTTCCAACTACAAATAGCATTTTTAAAATCAGTGGAATATAGCTCCTCGGATGTTTAAACTGTTTTTTAAGGACTCTGAATTAAATCTCTTCCTTTCATTTTCTTTCTTTCATTACTTAAAAAGAAACATCACCTCAAAAACATATATAGGTAGCCCTTGACTTACAGCCATTCATTTAGTGACCTTTTGAAGTTATGATGGTACTGAAAAAAAGCGACATGTTTTTCACAGGACTGCAGCATCCCCATGGTCATGTGATCAAAAGTCATACACTTGGCCACTGACTCATGCAATATGCTGGGGTCATGGGGTCACCTTTTGCGACCTTCTGACAAGCAAAGTCAATGGGAAAGCCAGATTCACTTAGCAACCTTGTTACTAGCTTAACGGCTGCAGTGATTAAACAAATGGCAAGCAAGGTCTCAAATGGGGCAAAACTCACTTAACAATGTCTCATTTCAAAACATAAATTTTGGCTCAATTGTGGTCGTAAGTCAAGGACCACCGGTACTACTCTGGTGTACTCTGAAAAAAAATCAGGACTCATATATTCTTAACCTATGATATTAAAGCAGTTCTCAAAGAAAACATAAGAAGGAAAGGCTATAATATGGGCAATACTGTAAAACAAAAAATACCCAAACACTCTTCTGACCTCCATTTTTAAAAGTGCAAAACACACAAACCAAATCTGACACATTGAAGGAGCTTTGTAGAAAGATCCCAGATGAAGAATGTGGAGCAATGACCTTGTTAGGGAAGTTGTAAAACAGCCCACCCCTCCACCACTCCTCCTCCCACTTGCCAGGTGTGATTACTGGGTTTGATAACCATGGAAAGACAAAACCATTCAAGCTCTAAAGAGGAAAGAAAGGTGAAGGGCTAAAGTAATTTTCTTGTAGCCGGAAGCTACCCCCACCAATGTAAGAACATTATGTCTGGAGACCTGCTTGACAAGACCGGGCATTAAGCACAAAAGAGACTTGGGCCCCTTCAAACATACACACCCTCGGGGTTCAAGCTGGACACCAGGGGACTCTGGAGGTTCTGTGGATTGCCGAAGAAATGCTTGGCTGTAGGTCCTGGAGGTGAGTTTCTGCTGAGTTCCAACAAATCTAAGGAAAATGATAGTTTAATATAGCTTCCTTGACCCAAAGGTGCATTTCTTTGATCAGATTTACTTAGTGACAATATGATTCCTTTAAGAACTGCAGTGATTCACTTATCACCCCTGTGGCAAAAAAAGGTCTTAAAATGGGGGGAAACTCACTTTAACAACTCCCTTGTTTAGCAACAGAAATTTGGGGCTCAATTGTGATTGTAAGTGGAGGACTACCTGTAGTTTACTCCTGAGCCTGAATTGAAGCCTGATAATTAGAAGGCAAATATAATGCACAATATCTTTTGGACTTGATAGGTCACGCCAAGATAGTCAGGGAAATCCGTAGAGCAGGAGGTTTCACAACAGCTTTGGCTCAGATAGGCAAAAAATTTTTTTTCAGGAAGCTTAACTCTGGTTAAGTGACAGCTAGTAAAATGCTACACTTACCCAAAGGGATATTGTCTTTATAATGATTGTTTATTTAAACTGAGATTTTTGAGGCTACGCATCAGGGTCATTATCACAATATTCCTCACTGTTTCTTCTAAAGCAGAGATGAGAAGTTAACACACACCAAATCTCTAAATTCAATCTCTAAATTTACTCTAAATTCAAGTCAAGCACAGATCTTGTGTCCAGATGGACACACCCCATGCAGTTTTCTTGGAAGGCAAAGTATGGATTTCTAAAAAAAATGTTCCTGGTCTAACCTGCAGTCATGGAATTCCCGAGTCTCCTATTCAAAAACTAAATATATTTAGCCTTGCTTCACTTCCATGCCCACATAAATAGCACTAGCCAAGTTCTGACACCTGCTGAGACCAATCAGAAAAAAATAATAATGTAGAAGAAAGGATATATATTGCAAATATCACTACCAAGACTACAATCTTCCACACTTACGTATAATGACAATACTCTTTTTTCCCTCACACCTGAGAGCCTTCTAGATATGTTGGCTAATGCTTCTCATAATGGCCAGTGACATGGCCACTCCTGCATAATCTATAAAGCACCTCTGAAAGGGTACCAGATTGGGGAAGCCTTAAAACAGTTCTCCTGTCTCCCTCCTCTTTCCCACCCACTGAGTTATATTCTGACCTCCATTTCTCTGGTGAGTTGGCAACTCTTGGCTAATTTGATCCAGCTGCGATTCTGCCTCTGTTCTGGCCTGTGGAGTAGTCACCATGGCTCCTGTCTGCTGGATGAATTGTTGTAAATTACATTGCCTGAGTTCCTTATTCAATTCCTCCAGCTCTTGGTTCTGGGCCTGAAATAGAGAGGAGGAACAGGCAGAGTAAATTCCAAATCTTGTCCTTATTTGAAATAATAATCTGAAATTGCAGGGAATAAAGGTTTTTTTTTTTAAAAAAATCATCTAACCTTCACCCAAAGTTTAACTCCTTTCTCTTCGTTCCTCAAATATGTAGTAGAAATCTATCAGTATTTTCAAGGCAAATGGTAAATGGTATCAGGACAACCCCATCTGATCCTTTAAAAATGGAGACGACAATTGTCTCCTTTGTTACGGAGTCTTATTAAATTGGCAACCTACTGTCTGGTATCTATCTGTGATGGTGTTTATTGTGGGTGCTGAATAGAAGTAGAAATCCAACCAATATTTCAAGGCGATTTATTATAAGATATCAAAATGTACATAATCTCAAGATCAGCTCTCTTCCAGTCAAACACACTTTGGCAAAGGCAGCCAAAGGTAGCCTTGCCCATCTCACATTACATCACACTGGTCATTTTTGGGGTGCTTTCCTCATTCCAGGGATTTGATTAAAGTCAGCTGCTATAAAACCATCTCTATTTACAAATGGAAAAGAGACGGCCTATATCTATTTTATCATGGACATAGAGAATTCAGTGCACAATGCTAGTTATTCTACCATAAAGGAGGAAAAATGTTGGGAGGAGCGCATATCAGTGCATATAAAAACATGTTTTACAGACAGACACAGTTTCTAATGTAGGTCCTATGTTATAAGAGAGAACCTAGGAATCTGATAACCAACAACATTTCAGTAGGAGTAGGCGACAGATTAAGTATTTGGACACAAATATCTTTACTTCATAACTCTGCATCCAATGGAACTAAGCACCCAGAACATGAATAATACTCTAAATAACATTAAACAAATTAGAGGCTTATTATAGCTGGCAGAGAATGAAATACGATGCAGAGTTGCAGAGAATTTCAGTTTAGAAAGTCTCCTTTTTGCTTTTCTCATCCAGTCATAAGTAGTGACGATCTTTAGTATTTTACTTTAGATAGGGGACATAATGAATTAATACAGATGCCACACTGGATGAATCTTGGAGGAAGTGAGGAAGTAGACAATAGCTAGACGTTGTGTGCATTCTTATGGAATTCTCATTTAGTCAGCCTCCAGTCCAAAAAAAGGTCAACAAGATAGCATATTTGTGCTTGTCATATTTTAAATAAAAAACTGTCTTCACTCTTCAAATGACTTAGTACAATATGTAGGTAGCTACATTTTCCTTTCAGCAAGAATGGAAATTCTCAGATGTTTCTTTGATCACAGAATTGCAAAAAAAGACATATATGGGCTGTGGCAGATTCACAACATATCCAGTGTTTTAATCTTTATACTTACTGAAAAATAAATTCATTTATAAGAGTTTATGCCTGGCCGGCCTACTATACTTCAGGTATTATATTCTTATATGTCCCATTATACCATAAAATGAAAAGCAACTTTCTTTGAAGACAAAGAACTGTGAGGATAAGAAGTTTATATAATTTACAGAATTTCTATCCATTATAAAACAATGAATGTGCTGATTGGAAATACTGGGCACTGTAGTGCCTCCATATCAGAACGGTACAAGATAAGAAAGGCAAAATTAGCTTACTATGTGCAATTAATCAAAACTAGCCATTCCACAACCCTCTCCTCAAATGAAATTGGACATGAAAGTAGCTAGAATTGTTTTAACAGTCACCCGAGTTTTAATTATAGGATAGCTTCATGAAGCCATAGAGCATATGTATAAGGTGGAGAGAGAGGAAATTAATATCCAGCTGAAATTAAAAATGCAGTTTGGTTATGATGCTGATTTGCAACATTTTTGTTTGGATCACGTAATCTCATACTTGAACATAATTTGAAGGTAGTTCCCAAAGAGATCTACTGTAGGCATCTAATTCTGCTTCTCAGCATTATCATGGAGAAAACACATGTAGCAGAGATGCAGCATGGAGTATCTTGTTGCCAAACAGTAATTAGAAGCAAGCAAAATCAGAGGCGCATATCATGAACACACATGGTGAAGAACAATCCTTTGGACTCACACATGGCTTGCTAAGGAAAAGGATCATTAACTCTAAGCACAAACCTGCAGATTGTACTCTGCTTCCTCCAAGGCCCTTCCCACTGTATCCAGGCTGCTTTCCAGCTGGGCAGTTTGCTTGGCCTTGGATTCCAGGTCTCTCTTTATTTTAGCGGCCATTCCCACTAACTCAGTAGGATTCTGGGTAGAAGTTTCCTTGGTCTTCTTGCCTCTCTCAGCAATTTCCCACTGGATTTCTCTTTCCAAGGTCTCTGTTTTTACCATAAGCTCATGGATTTTTTTGGTGTACTCCTCCATTGTGGCCCTCAGGCTGTGCACTTTCTCCCGCCGCTCCCTTTCATGCTCCTTTTCTGATTGTAGTTCATTCTGCCAAAATTCTTCCTCACTCAGCTGGCTCTCATTTTGGTGGACCAGCTGCTCTAGCCGCAAAATCTCATCCTCCTGATAAGAGCCTTGGCTGGATTCCCAATGCCTGATGTCCATTTCCAAGGCATCACCTTGCATCTCCAAGGCGTAGAGATGCTCCTGCTGGTATAGGACAGTCTTGAATAGCTCCTCTTTGGAAAGTAACCCCCCTCTGGCTCCATCTCTAACACACGTTGGGTCCTTTCTGGGCTGTCTCAGCTTGTTTTTGGCACAGGCATCACCTGAACTCCCGGGACCCAAGTTGAAAGTTAAAGACTTTTTGGGTTGCCTGGTTCTAGGTACTTCTGTACTGAGTGGTCTAGGTTTAATAGGCAAGCTAGCCCTGACAAACGTCCTCTCGGGTATCTGGGTGGCATTGTCTGAAGAAGGCCTCTCTATGAGGCTGGGGCCGGTACGCTGCAATATAAATTGCACATCCTGGGCATATTGGCCACATTTGGATAGAAACTCTATAGGACATTCATGTGGGAGAAGCTGCCTCTCCTTCTCACGTAGTCTTTGAATGAGAACATAGCGGCCTGTTTGACCTGAGAAAACAAGACAGATATTATGAGGACAAGATTTCTTCGTTACAAAAACACCAGTAAACTTCCTTTCTCCTATCCAGCTATATCAAGCTCACATTCCACAGTAATTTTCCTTGCCAGCCAACACCCATTACCACCCAAAGGTAAAAAGCTTTGGAGAATGGGACAGCTGATTCCCAAAGAGACATAGATAAGCCTGTGTATAGTTAAGTAATAAGCAGGATTGCCAATGGTCTTCAATTTTTTCTTCTTCTTTAATTGCTTCTATATACCCAATAAGATGCCTCCATAAATGAAGATTTAGCCTTAGAAAAAGAGTTTTTTAATTGGAGATTGGTGATTTGAGAAGTGAGAATTTGAGAAGTGGCTTATGCATTCATGCAGCAACATTTCTTCAATTTAAACATGGGCTTTCACCGAGACCCTCATCTATATTGATACCTTATATACTAATATTACAAACGCACTTGAGAAAAATGTCACACTAAATGCATTAGTGTGCTCTTTCACTATATGTGGTCACTATAGCAAAATGGGCATGCTCTTATATGCAGCATTTTTGCTCATTTAACAAATAATCTTCATACAAATTATCCAAAATGTTTCTAACATACTTTCAAGTCTTATTTTTTTCCATATTTAACAAACATTCTGCCAAGTAACAAATTTGGATAGTTGCTTTATTTTTTATTATGCGTGTATCACTCCCAATTGTTCACTCCAATTGTGAAAAATAATTACTTGATCTTTGTTACATTAATTTTCAGATATATGCTCCTTGTTCCATAATATAATTTTCTAATATTTTCTGCAAATCAATTGGATTCTCAATCCACTCCATGGCACTCATGGTCATTCACATCCCTGATCAACACACTTCTAATGTTGCACAATTATTTATTTATAAAATTTATTTGCTGCCTATCTCATATCGAATGACTCTGGGTGGACAAGCATTCCTTATACAACAATGCATAAATCCATTAAACAACCAAGGGGCATTATACCCATTGTCTTATCCTGCTCACAGTTGAACTATTCAGAGATTCTCATTTATTTTTAAGTATGCTTTGTTTCCATATTGCACCACTTTTAATGCAATGAACAATCATCCTTTGATTCCATATTCATGCAAAACATTCATTTTATTGAATGATTTCATTAGATCAACAAACTTGCAATAAACTTCCTCTCTCACATTCTCACATCTCTCATATATATAATATATATAATTTACATATAGAAATATCTACATTCATATGACCTGCCGAAGAGCAATATCTGTTCTTGCATGTGATAGAGCCATACAGCACTTGTCAAATTTTGCTCATTCACATATTTTTTGGCCAGAATTCTGCCAAACACTTTCCAAGCATGCTTAATACACTAATCCTTCTGTAGTTTTTGCATTTTCTTTTCCTACCTTCTCTTTGTACAGAGGAATGATAATAGCATTCTAGCAATCGTAAGACAAACACAGGCTTCAAAATATTAACCAAATTGCACAGCCGCTCCACAAGCATACCACATTCATATTACATTTCTCCGCTTATACTATCTACAGCTGCAAATTTACAAATTTTCAACATTCTCATCTTTTTCATTATTTTTTTCCATGGAGTTATCAATTTAATCTTAACTTTTCTTTGTCCCTCTAACTATATGATGAACCAGATTGTTGGGAGCAATAGGTTGACACTGTAAACTGCTTAGAGAGGGCTGTAAAGCACTGTGAAGCGGTATATAAGTCTAAGTGCTATTGCTATATGCTCTTTCCTATGTTTTCTCTTTGCTCTACATACAGATTATCCAGCATCTTTCTCTCATGCTAATGTACAGCAACAACTGTTCACTTATGTAGATTTTTATCATGCACAGTACTTTTTTCACTTGATTCCACTCTGTGTATTTTCCATACTCCTTCTTGGAATTAACTTTTTACACTGGATTCTGTAGTTTGATTCTCCTCACTCTCTTCAAGCAGCTTCCGTGTCCCTCTATACTCGAGGTAATCCTAGTTTAACAAAGTTAATTGGACTAGAAACTTCACTGTTAAGTAACCTGGTTGCAAGTTGAAAAACCATCTAATTATGCTGCTTAAGGACAGTTCTGGCAGCTGCCATCATTAAACAAGGGCCACATAAGTCATTAAGCGAGGACGTCAAGTGACTGCAACCTTCAACTTCCTTCCAGCTTCTCCACTGACTCTGCTTCTGAGAAGCTGGCAGGCGAGGTTGCAAATCACAATGATGTGACTGTAGGGATGCAGTGCTGTCTGTTTATATCTACCATTTGTTCAGTGCCATCATAAGTTGGAACTGTCACTGAACAAGAAGTTCACCTGCACTTCCTCTCAACATTTAATCTCTATTTTCCTCAATAAGACACCTGTTGGGTATATGGATACACCAACTAGGTTTGGGTGAATAAATATAT